GGCTCGGTGCAAATGAGTCGTTAGCTGCTTAAATGTTCTGTACAGGGATCTAAAGAGGGTTTTCTTTACTGGAGTACCCTCTGATGGATATTCTTTACCGGGACATTTCTGTATTTCAATGTTTTTACTTGGGTATTTTATAGTGACCACTACGCCACCGCGCCCTCGCCGGCAAATGCCATAAAGCGCGAAGAAAACTGTTATTTTGAATACGAGGGAAAGGAGATTAAGGGAGGAAATGGATAGATTTCTCTCTCTCTCTCTCTCTCTCTCTCTCTCTCTCTCTCTCTCTCTCTCTCTCTCTCTCTCTCTTTCTCTCTCTCTTTCTCTCCCTCTCTCTCCCTCCCTCCCTCCCTCCCTCCCTCCCTCTATCTCCCTCCCTCCCTCCCTCCCTCCCTCTCTCTCTCTCCCTACCTCCCTCCCTCCCTCTCTCCCTCTCTCCCTCTCTCCCTCTCTCCCTCTCCCTCTCTCCTCTTCCCTTGACCTTGACCCAATGCCTATGATGTCCGTGCGCCGTCCCCGCCCCAGGGATTACATCAGCCTTAGTCAAGCGTGACTGACTGAATGTGATACTTTGCAAAAATATTTAGACTTGCATTACATTACAGAGGGAACTTTTAACGAAGGAATTTAACACTGATGCTGGAAACTCTCTTAATGTATGTAAGGTGCTATAGGCTTCAGTAAATATATTTTGTTGATGCATTTTTTTTCAAGACCAAGCCAGGTTATAAGTGCTTAGTCTTTCCGTAAGCAAGGGCTAGAACCACGAGGCCCAAAAGCGGATCCGGTGTCGCAGCCGAGCGGACGCCGGAGAGGCAAATGATCCTAAATTCAGGTTCTGTGACACAGCACCTTGCGCCGAATGAGTGACAGCGCGCGTGAAACGACGGGTGAGGAAGCAGGCCAGCGTCTCTGTGCCTGCTCTTTGCTTTTGCTTTTCAGTTGCAAAGTCATCTTGTAGCCATTCGGAGACACGTGAAAAAAGTGGAGATTGACTGTAAATCTGTTGTAATGCGCTTTAGATGAGATTATGCATATTTGACAATGATAGATCTCGGAATAGCATTAGATCCAGGTTATATTTTAGTGCTCTCTATGAAGCAGCACCGAAATTAGGCAGCCTTTTGGGTCGACATATGTTCGGTAGTGAAAATATGATAGCAGTGTCGATAGGCAGGTCTTGGGCCGCGTCTGCACTGGCGGCGAGCGAGCGCGGCCGAGCGGAGGCCGACATCGGAAGGGTGAACATGTCACTTTTCTAACTTGAAACCCGTAATTCAAGCGTTTTTCCAGTAGCGACAAATAAAAAAATAATAATAACGAAAAAGCTTACGCAATTTCCCCTTAAAAACGTACATCAAGTAAGAATATAGAAACGACCCATCTTCTGTCCACTCCGGCCTGCACACGTCTGCTCTCTCCTGGTGTGGCGCGCGGCCTTCGTGTCAAATTAGCTTTCACCTATTCTCTCTCTCTCTCTCTCTCTCTCTCTCTCTCTCTCTCTCTCTCTCTCTCTCTCTCTCTCTCTCTCTCTCTCTCTCTCTCTCTCTCTCTCTCTCTCTCTCTCTCTCTCTCTCTCTCTCTCTCTCTCTCTCTCTCTCTCTCTCTCTCTCTCTCTCTCTCTCTCTCTCTCTCTCTCTCCCTCTCCTTCTCTCTGCTCTTCTGTGTGTGGGTGATGCAAAATGACGCAAAAAGTACGGTTTTAGATGCAAACATGTTTCATTTTGTAGACATGCCGTGCGTTATTTAATACCATAGGTCGAGTTGATGTTTTACCTTCTGAGCTTTTGATAAATCATCATTTGCACCCTATATGCCCCTCACACTTCAGTATAAAACACACGTTGCACTAAGCAGCACAGGCCACAACATTGTTCACACCATAACTTTTACTTGTACTGTGAATCGCGATGCCAACGCGGTCTGCTTCCCCAAGGAATTAATCAGGGAATTTCGTGCCTTACAAAGTATCTCCGCCGCCAAGATGGATGGGCGAGGGAGGGGGTCCTGGCTGAGGGGGGAAAGGAGGGGGCCTGGCTGAGGGAAGGGGTCCAGAGTGAGGGGGGGAAGGAAGGGGCCTGGCTGAGGGAAGGGGTCCAGAGTGAGGGGGGGAAGGAGGGGGTCCAGTGCCCGGTTTGCGGTCGGGCTAAGCGAGACGGGTATTTGGATTTTCTGTTTTGTTTCAGAGAGGAGTGTGTTTATCGTGCACGGGTATTAAGGTCGTTATTTTTTATTCAAATTTATTTATGTTGTCTTTGTTGGCCCTAATGGCCGGTGTGTGTCCTCTCTCTTTCTCATTTCTCTCTCCCTCCCGTTCCTTCTCTCTCTCTCTCTCTCTCTCTCTCTCTCTCTCTCTCTCTCTCTCTCACCATTCTTATTAATATTTTTGTTAATATTCATACTTTTCTTCGCGCTCTCTGCCTCTCGTCATACTCTGCCTCTCCCCTCCCCTGCGCACCCTCCCTGGAGTCCCTCCTGACGCTGTCCTCTCCTGCAGGGACCTCCTGAGCCAGACGCGGCCGCTGACGCTGCGCTTCAAGGACGAGAAGACGGAGCGCGCCTACCGCCATCACCGCGAGACGTTCAGCGGCGCCGCCACCACCGGCGTGCCGCTCGTGCTCGTCGTCGTCGCCTTCGCCAGGCTCGTCGTGCTGCCCAGGTGAGGTCGCTGTCCCTGTCGCCCGCGCCGGAAGGGCGGGAGGCGGAGGGAGGTAGGCGGGGATGGAGAGGGGGAGAACTACTGGAAGACAGACATGCAAGACGGTCTGCAGACAGACAGTCGTATAGATTAACAGACTCGGATATGTAGGCGGACACACGCGATCAAACACACACACACACAAGCACGCAGACGCACACACACACACACACACACACACACACACACACACACACACACACACACACACACACACACACACACACACAGAACACAGGACAGGCAAACAGCCAAGTAGCCAAACAGACCTGAATCCACAGCAAGACAGACCGCGGGCCAGTCAGAGAGACAGGCGAGAGGAACCTGGCGATACTGGTAGAGTGTAGATAAATGTAAAGAGAACACTTGGTCTTCACTTGAGCCATATCCAAAGAGTGTAACATCATTCCAACTTGAGAGTTCATGTTTATTTGATTCATAAACTAATGCTTATGTTGTTACGATATGTGTACAGTAAATAAACGTAAAGAAAGTTGTTTCTCCTCACTTATGTCGGATGCAAAGAGTGTAGCATCACATCAGTGTGTGAGTCGATGTTTCTTTCTTCCATTCCTGTAATTCTGAGGCGCCGAGACGGCCCGCTCGCGCCCAGCCACGAGCTCGAGCTTCCAGGCAGACTCATACGCTGCAGCAGCTGAAAGAGAGCCATGAATCGGCGGCAGAAATTTAAAGCTGTCTTGCTTGAGTGAGCTCTAGGTGTTTGTCGCTCTCACTTCAGCCAATAAGAACCTTGAGAGGAGAATAAGCGGTTTTATCATTGGTCCACAGAGCTGGCGGCGGCGGGTGGGTGCTGCTGGCGGGCGCGGTCATCCTGACGGCCATGGCGGCGGTGTCGGCCGCCCGATCCTTCCCTCTGGTGAGTATGGCTCCGAGCTCTGCATAGAAGGTTCTCCTGGCGATGCTCTTTGTGAAACTGAAATGATTTCACGAGCGAGAGCAGTACAGCGGCCGGAGAGAGGCCTGACCCGAGGCTCCAGTCTTCGGGTCCGCAGCATTCCTCGTGTTGACTGACTTGATTTAAGGGGAAAGTGCATCTTGATAAAAAGAAGTTAATTGTTTCCCAATATTGACTTAAAGTTTGTTTGTGCATCGAGGATCATCTGTCCTTTTAATGCTGTTTTGATGTCATTTTACAATACTTCATAATTACCTATGAGAACATAAAGTTAAACTGTAAGATGTCCGATATATTCCTTGTACGAAAATCCAAATGCCATTTGAATAAAATGAATTTCACGCAGTCCGGCGGCTGACACAGCGGGACCGCGACGCGTGGCTCCGTTCAGTGTGTGTGTGTGTGTGTGTGTGTGTGTGTGTGTGTGTGTGTGTGTGTGTGTGTGTGTGTGTGTGCGCGGCGCGAAAAAAACTGAAACTCAACATTGAAAAACTAGAAGTCATACGAACTTTGGTGATTTCATGTAATATCTTTTTATATCTCCTTTACCTTGGCTAAATCTGTGGTTATTGTATGGCAGTACCGAACCGATGTTTGTGCAAAATCAGTCTTAATAAAGCAATGTTTGTACAAAAGGAAAGGTGTTGTTAATGTCAGTCGGGCACAGTATGAACAGAGGCAGTAGTAATGACGAAAATGTTTTAGTAAACAACATTTGGCACAGTTGACACAACAAGCCGGTGGCGGACAGGGAAGATACGGCAGAGACCTCTCCGTCTGCCGTAAGACGTGCTGCGGGTTTGCTGTTACTCTTACTCAGAAATAATCGCTTCAGGCATTGTATGGAATCTGAAAGTCCCGGAGCCAGTGAGGTCTTTACATGGGAGAGACAAGAGACTGTGTGTGTGTGTGTGTGTGTGTGTGTGTGTGTGTGTGTGTGTGTGTGTGTGTGTGTGTGTGTGTGTGTGTGTGTGTGTGTGTGTGTGTGTGTGTGCTTGAGAGAGAGAGAGAGAGAGAAGTGAATGCGTGCGACTGTGTGTGTGTGTGTGTGTGTGTGTGTGTGTGTGTGTGTGTGTGTGTGTGTGTGTGTGTGTGTTTGAGAGAGAGAGAGAGTGAATGCTTGCGTCTGTGTGTGTGTGTGTGTGTGTGTGTGTGTGTGTGTGTGTGTGTGTGTGTGTGTGTGTGTGTGTGTGTTTAGAGAGAGAGAGAGAGAGAGAGAGAGAGAGAGAGAGAGAGAGAGAGAGAGAGAGTGAATGCGTGCGTCTGTGTGTGTGTGTGTGTGTTTGGTTTCCGAAGAAGAAATATTAAACTATTTTCAGTCGCACATAGTCTTTCTTGCCTTCAACACATATCCTGTAAGTGCCAGGGAAATCACTGTAACAG